CTACTCTTTGACAATGCACAGAGCTGAGAGAAGGTGTTTGTGAGCAGGATCCTGGACTCAGCTGCAGAGCTTTGCCCAGCAGGAGGGCTCATATATCATTTTAATTTAATCTCACCATATTACATAGACATTTTCTTCTCCATAAAAAACTGATTTGAGAGAAGAGCACGTTTTAGCTAGTAGACGAGTAGAAGGCCAGGCACTGCTGATCAGCCAGTTTCCCTTTCACAGGACTTTACCCTCCCTTCCTTATCCTATAATTGTTCATAAAAACAAAGACATATTTTCACTTAGCAAAATAGCCATTGCTAGCCTTAGCCTGGAGTAAGGAGGTTATTGCTGTGTCCAGCTAACCTCTTACAGCAAAGAAAGAAATTGCAAACATGGCCTTTATTCTGTGCATTTCCTGAAGGAAAGGAGACTGAACAGGAATTCAGATAAGAAAACTGATGCTGTTGCTGTTCTTCATATTCTGTGAGGTATATTAATGGGGATAACAATACACATTAGACATCCTATTCAGTAACATTTTTAGTACCCAACTGAGTCCAAATATAAACTACAATGGTATACAGAGAGTGTCTTAAGAGCCATTTCAAATCAATTTAGTTTTATGTAGCATCTCTCAAAGTATATCAAGGTGATTTACAGTGAAAAAGAAAATAATAGGCTTGTGATTTAATAAAGTAAGGCATGGCAGCTGTCAGGCAGTAAGGCAAAAAAGCTGCATGGAGATGTAAAATTCTAATTTAAAAGCACTACAGAGGTAAACATATCTCTTTGCTGTTCCAGTACAGGAAGCAGCCAGGTAATGAAGCCAGGCTGGGGTCACTTTAACTCAACTGTTCCACAAAGCACTGAGGGCTTTTCCATTTACAGACAGAACTGGAACCTAAAACTGAAACATTCTCACTCAACTGTTGAGATTAGGAAAAGCCAGGAAAGAAATATTTGTGACCAATTCATTTTAGCAGTTTTACCATCATATTTCACAACCTCAGAAATTTTAGACTTCCTGTGGGTTGGACTTTTGCCCTACCGGCTTATTAAGTCAAGAAGGCAGCTTTAAGTGCCTTTTTCATGGAAACTGTTAAAGCCTCTCTTGAAGAAGCAAGACTCTAGTCAAGAAACCTTGACCTTGCCAGTGTGGCAGCCATTGTGCTGCTCCTGTTAAGCAAAGGCAGCCTGCCGGTGGAGTTCCCTTCAGATCACAGTACTGAAGTGGCACGTGGCTCGTTGGGTCTCTTCCTCGTAACGGACAAGGCCCTCTCACCAGTGCTCGTCCCCACATAGCCCCTGAGGAGTAGCCAGCTCACAGCTGGACCTCCTCAGAGAAGCAGGTTAACAATTCTTCATAGCATGTTTCAAAGATGGGCAGTGTCTTTAGCAACAAGACACCTCTTCCGTGGGTTTTCACTCTCCTGCTCACCGTTCAAGTGCAGCTGCTAAGGAAGCCACAAAAAACACTTGTATTTTGGCATCCTCGGTGTGAAGACCACCTGTATTCCTTACACTTCCCTCTCATCAAATATTTCAGAACGGCCTGTTGGATATGAATGTTTTGATGAACTTTAGATAAGAGAGAGGGAATACTAATGTCCTCCTAGGTGAGGACCTGAGTACACAGAGTCATAGAACAGCTCAGTTTGGAAGGGACCTTTAAAGATCATCTGGTCCAACCTTTTGTGGGAAAGGGAGCCTAGATCATAGAATTGTAGAATGGTTTGGTTTGGAAGGGACTTTAAAGATCATCTAGTTCCAATCCCCCTGCCATGGTCAGGGTAGACTTCCACTAGACCAGGCTGCTCAAAGCCTCATCCAACCACTAGATGATATTATCTAGCACCCTATCCAATAGCATCTTGAAAACCTACAGTGATGAGGACTCCACCACATGCCTAGGGAGGTTGTTCATATGTGCCACTTCTTCAAGAGGCCTAAATCGCCTATTTTCCCTTCCAGGTGCCAGGACACATTCAGAATTTGTCACCACTGTTGCCTGTAGGCCAGGGAGATGGTGGAAGCCTGACCTGCTCATGACGTCCCCGGTGTCAACCATGACAAAAGGCTGCTAGACCTCTTCTCAACTTCCCCAGCAAGCTCACAGGAGATGTTGAGGATGTTAAATCTGCAAAGAGCCTGAATTGTGATGACTTGAAAAAGTGCCTCCCCCCTTGACCATCTTGGCAAGTGCTGAGCTTGTTTAGTGGCCTCAGGGCTGATGCTGAATGTTCTCATACAGATCTCTCCACGAGGGAATTCACTACTCCCCCACGTTTGAGTCTGCTAACTGCGGCGTAGCACCGTCTTGCAGACAGTGGCTGCGTGAGTCACATGAGGCTGTAAGTACAGGTGTGATGTCTGTTCATCTGGGAAAGTTTTTTTTTTTTTCCTTGCTGCTGTGCAAGTAGTATATATTTTATTGAATAAAGTGCATGTTCCCCATGCAAATGAATGCACTTTAGAATCATGATATACTGACACATTGTATGTTAAATATGTATGACATTTAAAAATCTAAGCAAGAACTAAAAATCATTTATAAATATTAAAGATTATGAAGTCTACTTTTTGTTTTCATTTTGCTTCTGATGCTGCACTTGGGGAAAAATACTCCTCACATTATAAGACTGAATTATCTGTCCAAGAACTAAACCTATAATTTTATTCTGTCAGTCAAGATGTATGTCATACTATTTTTATATCAAGACAATCAGGTTCTTTGAAACACAGACACACACCTACTTAAAAGAAGTGTTGCTCTGAAAGCAGAAGACTTTGGAATCAGCAGCAATTTTTATCTTTCAAGGGACTGATAACTAAATAGAGAAATGCAACTCCTAAAGAAAAGAAGGTTTCTTTGCTGTCCAGGATGATATTCCATTAGGACATCTGGATCCAGATTCATCCCTTTTGACTGTAAGCATCTAACCTGGCTTTGAATCACTGACTTCTAATGGTTTAAAAACGTTCTTTGGAGATTCTTATTTCTCTTTCTTGACAAGAGAGGACAGTAGGCCATCTGAACTCCTGAGAACCTTAGTTAGGTATCTAAAAAGAAATGAAATTAATACAGACCTTGATCTAGTTTTTTAAGTATTTGTTGTGTGGGAGACCTGTTAAAAAATTACACCCATTGCTATGGCACAGTCAATCTTGCCTCCAGGAAGTATTTTCTGCTACACAGAGCTTAAACATCCCTCTGGAAAGAAGCAGAAGTTTTCCATTAAGAAAAAAACATGCAGTGAGACCAATGCAGACATTAAAGCACCACCACCAGGGAGTCAGTTTTAGATTACAAGCGAAGAAGCATATTTTTGTGTTTCCTTCTGCCCCAAGATATTAAGGTAACTTGCAAATGCCAGAAAAGTTTTAGAACAGGCTGTAAATATCCTATGCTCATTTTACATACTGAGAAACCAGGTACGCAGGTCAAATACGATGTGCAGAGCATGTCAAAGAATGGAAACTCCAGCTCTGCAGTCCCAGTAATTTCCCTTCCTGTAACACCATCATTTTTTCTTGAAGAAGAAGCAACTGCTCTCAGTTGGTTTGTCACTGCACATTCACTTACTTCACTAAACTATTCCATGTGCTTCTGCTGCACTACGGATGGCAGGAGTGCCATGGGGCAGCAGTGAAGCGAGCTGGCATCTGGAAACCTGCACCAAGACTGGCTGAAACGATGCAGTACTATCCTTCTCGCACTTTACTATCTGCTATCAGCAAAATGCCTTTCTTCATTTCCAGATGTGAACTGGAGCAGTGGGAAATGCTTTCCCTCGGTATCCGTCCCTCGTTCCTCCGTTGACAGAAATTTTAAAACAAACAGTCATTTCAGTGGATTTAAAAAGCAGTGGAACTTCATGCCCCTAATGAATGGGCAGCAGGAACTCATACTGGCAGTGCTCAATGGCTGCACATGAAACTAGCCAGGCTCAGTAAATGAAACCAGATCCTAAAATGCAGTCTGAGATAACTGAAAGTATGCATGGAAATTTATTGTAGGAAAATGACTGACTGGAAAAAAAAGTGGTCTGCTCTGCCCCTGCACCTCCAAAACATATTGTACCATTTAAATGCTCTAGAAAGACATCTGCCAAAAATGCAATTAATTCTCCTGAAGGTCAAATGTATTCCTCTTGTAAAACAGTTGAAGCAGCAATTGTACGTCTTGATTACTCTTATGAAAGCAACTTAGGAAAAATCATAGGATTGTTCTTGTGTTTGAAGTTGGATGTTTATTGCTTACTGGCAGTGACTTTTGTTGCAAAGGTTAAACGCAGTCGGCAAATGATCATAACCCCCCTAGGAAAGGGTTAGTCCCAGTGCAGTCTGTCCAAAATTCCTGGAGCAGATCTGTAGTTCTGTGTGGAGTGCCACCCTGTGGACACAGCTCCTGCCAGGAGCTCTTCTCCTTCCCACAGCCCCCAGATGTAACACTCAGGAACCAACAGCAGTGGAAACATGAAGGGGTGATAACACCCATCAGTTCCAAATCACACCATCCCGTGTCAGCCTTGCATGTCCCTGGCTACCCTGGGGCAAATAGTGGTGGGAGGAGTAGGAGTACTGTACCAAAATACAATGTCTGCTGCCAAAGACCATTTTTGCCAATGCTTTCTACAGATGAAATGCTAACACCTCTTTTGAGCTGGATAGGAAATAGTTGTGGCATCTGTAGATAACAGCTGAGGTTTCTTGCACCACACCAGAGATGTAGAGCTTTGCACACGGAGAAGGGACCAGAGAAGGCCCCTGCTCATCCACAGATGAATTAAGCCCCTGCTAACTTCAAATTCATCCTTAGAAGTCAATTTCTGGATTGGATTATAGGTTTTTTTTCTCTCTGACTGTTTGTATAAGACTTGCAGGCTTGTTCACTGGAGATTGCCACCATAAATTTTAGGAGTCTAGCTTACAAAGCCTATAACAACCTTGTTTAGAAAAGGTGTGCCTTGCAGCATTCCTTCAATAATACCACTTTGGCTGCCCCTTACCTCCGGGGTGAGGTATTTCATCATGATTTCCTTTCCTTTCTCTCCCAGCTTTTCATCTGGAGCAATTTCATATTCTGCCTGGAATAGATATTAAAAAAAAAAAAAGTCAATATTTGTACTCATATTTCACCATTATAACTTCATTTTGGATGTGGTCTTAATGGAACGTTGTCTGAAAAATCTGAAGAATACTGTTTTTTGCTGGAAGTAAAACCTGCACACGCAATCCTATTAAAAACCTTCCACTATATTTTGACCAAATCCTGGTGATGCACTTTTTGAGACGATGTCCCTTAATTAACACCAATACAATTTAATAAAATTATATTTTATAGCCTTGCCAATTCAGTTTTCAGAAAGCATTCAGTGACAAGAGACTTATTTGGTTTTGCTCAAAGGGAGAGTGGACACAAAAGCTAACATTATTTCTGTGAGTAGTAGAGAAACTGAATGTTTGTTAATTCTTGCCACATTGGTATTTCAAGCACCAGGTGAACTCCTTCAGTAGATGGTCTTTTTGGTTGAATGTGTCCTTCCTATTTATTTACATCTTCCCCTTGGTCTAACAATACTCCTGCAAAGCAGAGAGACTTGCCCATCACTTTTAGTGATCCTTTACTCAGTCCCTCCAGAAGGCAGATCTAAGGGCTGATTTCTTATGCAGATTTCTTAGGACCAAGATAAAACAAGGGAGGCCATTTAGAGGAATAGACAATATAAGCAAAATTCTCTTTGGCTTCCCCAGTGCATTAAAAAAGAGAGAACCACATTCCCCCACACAAGGTTCACCTACATTTTAAAATCCTGACTGTTCTATGCATTGTAGCATTACTGACTTTTGATGACTTTCAGGACATTTACATAAAAAACAAAAGAAGCATTGCTTGTGCACCACGAACACATTAATCACTTCAGTTAAAGTTTTGGATCCATGGCAGGCGTTTGAAGGAAACACACACCGCATGGGACTCCAGTGACTAAATGACAGCTACAAGTTCTTAGAGACATTCCTACTTGGCACTGCCCAGGATATGAAGCTTTAGTCTTAGAATCAAAATATTTTCCAGAAAAAAAAAAAAAAAAAAAACAGCCTAACAGCTTTCATGACTGTTTGTATTAAGAAAAGGATCCCAGAAAATCCTGCCAAACCAATTAAGAAAACTGGTCCAATACAAGCTGTCTGTGATGATAAATGAGGAGGAAGTTAAAAAAAAAAAAAAAAAAAAAAAAAAAGATAAATCAGACTGAACAGGCAAATACTTGGAAGAACAAATTTCAGAACTATTGCCCACTGGAAGATGTATGTACTGCTCTGAGCTTGATGCAGTAAATCTGAAGGCAGGCTGTAATGGATACCCTAGCTGAGCAGACCTAGGAATGACATGAAAACCACAATGTAGTAATAATGCTATTACCCATCTATCTGGCCAGTGCTGATTTAGCTACTGCAGCTTAAGTCTGAAGCTACATATTTATACACATACATAGCAGGTTGCTTGAACAGTCTAGAATTACGATCTGATTTGGTCTGGGAAATGACAATGACCACAAATAACAGAGAAACCTGTATTGCTGATGAAAAATACACCAAAAGCTAAAATCCACAAGTGCAGTACTTCTCTTTTAGTGACCATTTTGGGGATGAACAGATTACATTCTCATAAAACTTAATACAAGGGTTTAAAAAAAAATCTTTCATCCAATTTCCTGTCCTCTTAGATGGTATCTGAGCATGGGTCATTTCAGCTCTTAGAGCCCAGACACTCTCAAATGTTTACAGCATCTTAACAGCATTTTTCTCCATGATTCCTTGCTACAGGATAAAGCAATGACAAGAGTAACAGAAAGAAGAATTTTATTAAAGGTGAAAGTTGCATCTTACTTGGACCTTACAGTTTATTGTTAGGTTCACAGACAAGCTAGGTGTTTTTCATATAAAACAGAAATAATGTATTTTAATAAAAGAAATAATTATACTTAAATGTAACTGTCTGTGCAGAAGACTGCAAAGAAAGGAGAACTCCTTGGCATTGCCTCGGCATGGAAGTACCTAGGAGATCTTCTGAGTGCTCCGTTCAATGCTATTTACAGTTTATCCAATAATGTCCATTTTTCTCTCTTTCATTTGCTTTTAGACACCGGATCCTGGTAATATATTAGCTCCCTAGTAAATAAAACCTGATTCAAATTCATCATCTGCCATTTGAAGTGCACAAGGGAGATGTCAAAAAATTTGGTGTCCTTTTTGCCACCCTATTACATTTACATCCCATCGGAATTGTACAACAGGAAGCAAATCAGGACAGACCAGAAGACAGAAGTTTAGCAGGAATTGGATCAGGGTTTTGAAATGCAACTCTGGATGGGATGCAACATATGCAGAGCTAAATGCACACACACACACACAGTATGTAATTCTGTCTCAAGATAGTTGGGAAGGAATAAAAGGAAAGTTTAATTATACTTGCATTTGACATCCTCAGAAAAGGCGACACTGTGGTGGTGAAGGTAGGAAGTGACAGACAAGTGAGGATGTGAGAAGGAACCATAAGCTCCAACTGTGAACAGTGCTGATTTCACTGTAGCGCAAGTACTAGAAGCCCGTTTCATTTTGTTTCTAAGTTCATTATTATTTCTCCCTTCAGTGCCACTTTTGAGCTATTTGGCAACAGATACTGGTACATTTTCAACCATGGACTGTTATTGCAGGAAGAATTGCCCATACAGGCAGACAGAGTGACTTCCTCACGCTCACCCTGCTGCATGCCTGGGAAGCGCACCAAGGTCCTCAACTCTCAATCTTGTGCTTAAATCACAGGATACATCCCCTTCTTCCACAATACTCAGAAGCACAGCTACAGTCTGCAAATCCCTAATTGCTAGAAATAACGTTGTTACTTAAAATCCACGTGGAACAAAATATTTTCCATTATTCCTTTGATGAATCCAGGCATGGATTTCAAGGCTCTTGCTCTGAAGTCTAATAGCTTCTCCATGCCCTAGTTAGGTCAGACAGGGCCTTATTCATAGCTCATAAAAGAGTGGAGGATTTACGATCACCCTGACTGCATGGGACGAGCTGCAGGGAAGGCTCTTTCTGTGGGCAGGCGAGGATCCTTCAGTCCCAACGGTGAGAGGATGTGGGCTGGCCACCATTCGTTGCTAACTTTTGGCTGCTGTTTTGGAGGTAGTAGTTACTTCGGTGGCTCCTGCTTCCCTAGAAGCTACCCTGGCTGAATGAGGGCACAGGGGTAGAAAGCATCCTTCCCGAAAGCAGCTGTCCTTGGGACGGGCTGAGTGAGATCAGATGGGAAAATGCAATTCCACTGGGAAAGGGAGCAGCGCCCAGCCTGTGGCTGGCTGTGGGATGGGGCCATGGGCTCAGGGACGGCTGAGCAAGAGGTTTGGGGGCTGGAGGGTACCTTGTGGCTGATGGAGAGCATCGCCAGGGCAATGGCACAGGTACCCAGAGGGGGCTCACACTAGCAACTTTAATTCTGACACATTGTTTTATCCAGTGTTTGATTTTCACTTTAATATTTTTTGAGATCCTGAAACTCTATGGCTTAAAAATATGTGAATATTGAGAAACAGAGCCAAAGGGATCTCTCTGCAGATCTGGGTGGACTCTCTCCCACGACAGGCAGCTGCTGGTTGCCTATGGGAGCGTGACACAGCCACAGGAGTCTGTTCCTTGTACCTACCAGGAGATGGAGATAGGAACAGGCACTCCTACCAGAGCGGTTTTGACTTCTTGGTATAAGTCAGGAGCAGCAGAGTCACCTTCTGAGCATCTTCAGGAGGCTACTGGCATTTTGGTCCCAATTTTACAGCTCTGATTTCTCAGATCCCTCCTCTGTTATCCCCAGCATTGCTCTGTGCTCCAGCTCCTGCTCACTCCTTCCTCTGACTCCAGGCTCTGCCCTGTTATTGCTCTGTGCTCCAGCGACTGCCCTTGCACTTGCCTTCACTAGAGATTTAAAATCTGTGACTGAAAATTGGAAGGCAGAATCCAAACAGCTGGGACTCATAATAACTTGCATTTCTAAATGAAAAGTGAACTTGAAACCACATTTTTCATATTTAAAGGCAGGGCAAAAAGGGCCCTTTTGACTGTTTAAAAACATGGTTTGAGTTAATGAGTTTGTTGATATCAACAAACTGGCATTTCTGATGGAAAAATTCTTGAACAGCTTTAAGACACACATACACAGATGGTTTATATACCATGTAAGGGGCTTAACCAACCGAAATCTCCCTAACAGCAAGATAAGGTTTTTACAAATGGCATTAAATGGATGTTCGCTCATCCTTTTACCCCAGATAAGTCTAATGTCTAGTGAAGCATTCACCTGAAAAGTCCACCTGAGGAGATCATGCCTCTCACCCCCAGCCCCCATGCCTGGATAGCACAAGCAGAAACAACTTGAAGAGGCAGCAGGGCTATTTTCCTCCAGAGGATGTATTTCTGTGCAACTCCAATGCAAAGAAAAAACATTGTACAGGCTAGAGAGAAAATAATGTCAGGTTAGTCAAAATTAGCTATGATCTCCCCAGGTCGATCTAAATCTGGTCCACATTAAAATGTTAAAAGCCCTCACCTGGGAAAAAAAAAAAAAAAAAAAAAGAAAAAATTATGAATGTGAGTAGACGAAGGAGGAAAGGGAGTCCAGAAGATAAAGTCTTTGTTATAACAGCACACAAAAACCAAAAGAACAAAGGAGAGGAGAGGGAAACATCACGAGCCAGAACCATGAGAATGAGTTGTTGTGAAGGAGACATGGGCAAGAAGTCTTCACTGAACTGCTGCCTTCTTGTGTTGGAAGGAAACGTGTCTTGCTAGCAGATTCCCTGCTCCCTGATCTGCCGTTCAGCACAGGAAACACATCCCCTAATGTTTTATTTTAATAGCTGTCTTTCAACAGCTCCAAAGTTGTATGATGTCGCTAAAATATTTGTCAACACAGCAAAGCGTGCTTCAGGGCTGTGTGTGAATTCTTTAAGGGCTTACAGGGGAGCTGATTTAATCATAAACCATCTCCATTTAATGATAATAGTTTATGTTCACATAGTTTCTTCATCTGAATGGCTACATAAGGGTTTGGTGAACTATCCATGGGAGATCTCTGTGTTTACATGCACACAGATAAGCACACAATGCATTCAGAGGCACAAGTTTCAGCCATCGGTGCTTCTTACTAGATATTTTATCTAGTCAAGTCAGGACCTCTGTCATGAAATTGTTCGCACAATATCTGTCACAAAAGATAGCTCTCTGTCCTTATAGCCTTACCATACCAGCTAGGAGAAGGAGTTGCTGTTGCCCCGTTCCCCAGACAGACGGACACACTGACGGCCACTCACTGCTCCCATAGCAGTGGTGGGAACCGATCGCCCACAGTTCCACCAGCGTTGCGCTGCAAAGCTCTGCATCTCTTCATTTTTACCGGTTTTATCATTGAAGCCAGCAGCTTACAAACCACATATCTTTGTAGTCCATTTTACATTTGATAGATTGTAGCTAATTACCCAAACACTGTTCTCAGAAAACATGTAGAAACTTTATGTCTCTGAGCACTTTAATCTCGATTATTGGTTGAAATTGTCCAAGGTATTCACAGGTTTCAGAGGGAACTGACAGATACACACCTACATGCAAGCAGAATTTAATGATACAAATCCTTTTCCTTCAGAAAGCAGCCTAACAACTTTAACTGCACAGACAAAAAAATCCCAGATGCTGCTATAATTAGATTTGCAGGAGACTACATCAGACCAGGTTAGTTATTTCACCCAACAGCTGAAATAAATGTCCAGCAAAGAGGAGATTTTTTTTTTTTTTTTCCTCTTTACATACTCTGGTTTGCAAGGTCTGGCTGATTTTACCAGTCTTTGGAAGCAGAGGTGTGAGAAAGAGCTTGCAAAACTTAGTCTTACTTAAGTATGGGAATGGAGGTTGTTGAGAGTTTGCTGAGTGTCTCATTCAGCTGCTGGTTTCCTCCCAGGAGCCCCGATCACTGCTTTCTTTGCAGGCAGTTGAGTGCACTGGTTAAAAAAATGTATTAAAAATTGGGAGGCATCAAGTACTGACTTCTGCCAATGACTTACTGTGTGACCTGGTAAAGTCATGTAGCTGTGCTCTGTAAAAGAGAGGTGGTCCTACCTTTCAGTGTGCAAAAAGCTCTGTGAGCTTCTCATGAGCAGCTAAATATTCTCTTAGTTTTTTCTTTTTATTTGATATTACACAAAAGCTAAGTTTTACATCTCACGTTAGGAAAATAACTAAGTCAAAAGAAAATGGAGGCTCTTGGATTTTTATGCTTGGGGCTTGTTACAGCAGGTGGTCCCCAAAAGGTTTCACATTCCTGGTGGTCTCAGAATAGAGCTGTAAAGTCAAACTTCTGGTCTCATTATAGGACTTTTCTGCCTAACATAGGAGTTGGCCTGAATCCCACTACTCAACACAGTGTGACCCTGCTGGGCGAATTTCAGTAGCAATCATCCAATTTAATGGCTATGGTCTCTGTTGCTCGACCTTAATATTGCCTAATACAGGGATTTTCATGGGTGGGAGCAAGCTTGTACAGAATTTGAAATCAATAAACAAAGGAGACTGCTGTTAATTAGTGTTAAAAAGAAGAGAGAAGGAGTAAATATTCAGACCTCCACACAGCCAGGCATTTTGATCATTAAATCCTCATCCCGCCAGTCTGAGCCTAACTGGGAACAGATCACTTGCCTAGTAAAGGTATGCAGGGCAGCTCCAGTCTGCAAAAACAACCTGGGGGTGGGTTGAAAGCATACCCTTGCAAAAGGATTTGGGGATATCAGTCTGAGATTGCTGGGAGAGGGAGTTTTAAAACAAAGCCAGTCCCGCCACAATCTTTCGCCGGACCGGTGTTGCCTACGCTGCACACGGATGCTGGGAGGACGTGGAGTTTCAGTGCTTGGCACGGCTCCACAGGGCTTGGGGAGAATGAAATGACCCAGTGCCCTCCGTTCCGGCAGCTGGAGGCAGGCTGGGCAGCCAGTGCTGCTGGGAGAGACTGGGAAACGCTCCGTGCAGCCCCACGGCAAAGGTTACCACGGGTGTCCTGGGGCTGGTGGCACTGGGGACACACAGGCACGGGGTGGGGGGGAGTGACTTGGTCGTGTTTCCTTCTGCCCAGGCGTTATTACTGCTGTCAGCCGAAGCGGTGTGCCCTGAGCACCCGCTGCCAGGCGTGCGTGGGGCTCGCACAACGTGGGCTTGTTCTCCGCAGCCCCTGGGCGCTGCTGGAAACAAAACGGTGACGCCTGCTGCTGCGAGGAGGCATGAGAAAAGAGCAGAGCCTTGCTAACCCTCTCCAAACTGAGGAGGGATCTCTTCTGTCTGAAATTAAAACCACTTGGAAGCAAGTTTTTTGTGGCTGTCTCCCAAAAGGATTTCTGCGGCTTCCTAGAGGGACGGCCATTGCCTGTCTCGTCGGGGCTGTGGGCGTCACACCTTATGTGGCATTTCTGCAGGGAAGCCTCCCCCCCAGAAAGGTGCGTGGTGTTTCATCAGTGGCAGACACCCTCTAGACAATGCTGGTTTGGTGCATCCAGGGTACCCAAAATGTCCTCCTGCCTGCCGGCCTCCAGCACAGCTGCACGGAGTTTGTCAGGCGTAGCAGTTTCACATACCTCAATGGCTAAACCTTTCACTGGGGAAAATCACAATCAGTGCTGGGAATATCAGGTAGAAGTTGTGATCAGCTAAAACTGATTTCAATAGGACTTTTTTCAACACCTTCTGTGATGCTGTAGATCTGCTGTAAATACTGCAGTACTAACATAAACTTGAAGTGACCACGTCCTCTCCCAGACTCTTTTTACAACTTCAGTGAAATCCTCACATCTCCTTATACTTCAGAAAAGCTTCAACACGGTACAAATAAAAAAAAATTTATTCCTGTTGGTATGCATCATTTTGCTTTTGACTGTCGGTGTTAATCAGAGAGCAAAGCCTCCCTAGACACACACAGCAGTGACAAGTTCATCTTCCTCTCTGGTACAATTTAACCTTTTGGCTCAGAAACACCCTACCCTTCTGCAGGTTCCCAGAAACAAAACCACTGAGAGACTTTTCCACTGTGATCAACTTCTCCTGCTGGCACTACACATGGCCAACTGCTGCCAGACTGGGAAAGAGCATCAGGCCCCCCCGGGGCTGGGGGGTGTTGCTCAGTGGCTAGGTTAACTGATAGTAGTTTGAAGCGGATTTGTTTCTCGGTGAATCACCAAGTCACTTCTACACCTTGTGCCCCTGTCTCCCTATTTGAAAAAACAGAATAACAATCAGGACGATCTTTGTAAATCACCCTGGAGTCTACCGATGAAAAGGCTTGGTAAGAAATAGTTATTAGTATTATCATACTCCTCTCTTGTCAGTCCATTCATCATCTTCCCTTTCCTCCCAGTGCCTCCCAGTGCTGCAGGCTTCACTCACACCAAAAGACATTACTCACAGCAGCTCTGAAGCTTGGGCATTGGCATGAAGAGAGGCCACGCCAGCACCTTGCTGGGGTGCCTGTCCTTCTCCTGCTCTGGTGGCTCATGGTCCCTGAGGCAGGTACCAACCCCACATGCAGCACTGCTCCTCTACTGCCAACGATGCTGGGATGCTGGCAGGGTCAGCCCTGTCTGCTCCTTGCTCAGGTGCATTAGACACAAAATCACAGTGCATGAAACTGATTTCCTGGGGTCAGGGGATTCTCCTCTGTCAGGAGAGCGCTGTGAAGCACCCTAAAATATCACGAGAATTGACTTACCACTGAGTCAAGGAACCTAATGCAGCACTCGAGCTCAGGTCGAGTTTCACAGAACTGCCGAAAGAGAAGCCTTCCGATCGGCTGCTTTTCACATATGCTGCAGTAATCTCTCTCTAGAGGCAATAAAGAGAAGAAGAGAAGCATGAAAATGAGAAGAGCTTTTGTCTTTTGGGTTGATTAGGAGTTTAAAGCATTGCAAGTGAGTGCAGAACTATGACACCAAATCAGAACTGTCACCTTCTCCCTGACACCATGTTTCAGGTATCCAAATACAAATATAATTAATGATTTAAAGACTCAAACAAGAGAGGCTCGATTTTATAGAGCTGATGTTGGTAAAAGTCCCACAAAAGCCATTCAGCTATTACAAAAAAAAAATTTCAAGTTTTTCTGTGGTGGAAATATAGGCTCTCTGCAAAGGTACTGTTCAGACTGGTAGTGTTTGTGGGAATGTGGGGAGCAAATTACAAGTCCTTGAATTGTGAGTCATACATTAAAGGGCAGGAAAATCTGGAATTTGTGGAGACCTTCCTGGATGCTTCCTAGATACGCACTAAAGTGACCTAAATCTCTGGAAATGCTCAACCCATTCTCTACTAAACAATTATTGCAAACTGTGTATTTTCAAAGGTTCCAAAATTTCCGCTATTTATTTGCTGAGCATTAACGAATGGATGGAGCATATGGCATCTAGCTGGTTACAGTTTCACACAGCACTCTTTTACAGAACTGTATTTCCCCTTAAACGCCATGTTTAAATGCCATTCCCCTGTGGTGGTGTATCCAGAACCATCATGCCCAGTAAAGCAAAAGATCCTTTAGCAATCACAGGGACTATCTGAAGGAAAACATGGGAGAAGGGCAGGCATCATTAACTGGCACTGCACCAGTACAAACGCTGAGGACTTTGGATATTTTTCTGGTGAGAGCAGCAAATCCCCCAGCCTGTTTGGAGCAGCAGTACTTGCTTGAGACACGTTATTCCTCTAAAAGCACACACATGTCAAACAACATACTGTGTTTCCTTGAGCGTTCCTCTCACCACCCTCCTCGCTGCCATATGGCACTTGCTGTTATTATGGAAACAACCAGCTTCTAAACACATAACACAGCACTGCAAACAGACACACGAAACCCACACAAGTTGTCAGTGCCTTGGTTACTTCTCTCTCAGGCCTGGAGTTGCTCTTGCAATATCTTTTATTCTCCCTTTGATTTGGCCCCCTGAGCCCTTCAGCTCCATCCACTCCAAGGAGAACATCTGCAGGCACACGGCTGGGATGGAGCTCGCCTTTGCCACGGAGGCACCCAGCCAAAGGGCTCGCTCATCACAGGTTGCGCCCTGGGGATCATGTTCTGCAAACCCAGGACATCCCTCCTGAACGAGGGAGGTATGAGATGTTGCACTTGCTGACCTGCGGTAGGTGGAAGGTGGGCAAGAGCACCCAGGGCTGCCTCCTGTAAGAGGAAGGAGGGTGCTTGCCCAGTGCTGCGCCTGTGTGCAGGTACGGCTGAACTTCGGGAACCGGCCCCTGAAGCACCTACAGGGTGGTCATGGGAGACACGGCCTGGGGCTAGATGGACTGTGCTTTTAATTCAGTACAGTCCTGATCTGGTCTGTCTTCTGAAGCAGTAACAACATACCAGCACCATTCTGTGGCTGGCATTGCCAGTCCATTTTGGATCAGGATATCACACAATCTATCCAGAAGAATGCAATGCTTTGATACCCTCTAGCAACTAAAACTGGACTGAAATCACTGTGTAAATCCTGACTTGACCTCCAGTCTATCTAACTATCAGCAGCAAGCCCATGGCACTAGTTTGTTTGCGTGAGCTGGAGCCTCGAGCGTGGAACATGATGACACAGACACATACGGTGAGAGAGCCAGCGGGCTCGCTTGGACGCTGAGCAGCCTTGGGGGTGTCCTTGCAAGTGGTATAAGCTTGTGCTGCTCAAGTGAGTAGCTATTTCAGTGAGAAGGTAATTGCTGAAGGGATGTGCAAATATACACAGCTCTAAGGTAAGCAAAGGAGTTAGGAAGGAGCCTGAGTGCATCAAAACAGCAACTCAAAATGTCCCAGGGGCCAGCATGAAGCCAGAGGCTGAGCAGCTCAGGTGAGATCTCCTGGGAGGTCTGGAGGATGAACTACATCTGTCTGATGCTGTTTTCTGCTATCTTGACTAACTCTTCTGAGGGTATGAATAAAATATACAGCCTGAATATCGGTATCACACAGCCTGCCTGATGGCAGGCCTCAATCCCTCCAGAAGCCCAAACCCACAACAAGCTTCCTCATGTTAAACAAGTGGTGCAAAAAATGAAACTGAATTTATAATAGAATAAAACACAAAGGAACAAGTACATTAATCAGCCAGTTTGCCCTACGTTTTCTCTTGTACATTGCTACTTGATGCACAGTGACAACACTTGTACAAAATGCAGTTAGTTTATCAAAGATGTTGTGATATGGTGACACTCACTGTAGCAGAGGATGCTCTTCTAACAAAAGGGCTAGTGATACAGCTAAATAAGCATGCAAATGGCACCTCCAGTAACTGTACTTTATATGATAGCAGTAAAAGAAAACAAGCAGCTAAACACTTATTATGTATATGGATAAATTAAACGTAAAGAAGACACGAGCACAGACTTCCTTCTACAGTACAGAACTTGGCCAACATGTGAGAATGGTGACCCATTCGTAATGAGGAAAAAGGAAATACCAGAAATAATCTCTGAAAACACAAGAGCCAGATCAGTTCCCTGGAGCCATCCACTCCTCGGTCATGTTTGTTTAAGTGATGGATATAGCAATACAGACAATAAATACATGATGCAAGTACTTTCATTCCTTGTAGGTGACACAAAATATTTTCTTAGGCCCTGATCTTGCCATTGGCCTCACTAAGTCAGCTAAAGGAGTCTGCTCTCATGTAATTCTTGGGATGCATGGGCCCTGGAGTGGACTCAGAAAGAAAAACACTTCTCTCAGCTAAAGCAGAAAAAAGGAGTGGATAGTTTTATTATAGTAAGGAAAGCAGAAGTGTTTTAACAGCGTGCTGCACCCTGGAGAGCTGGCTGTAGCACCCTGAGCCGTGCTCACGAGCTGCTGCAGGAGGGAGGGGATGGAGAGCCAGGCGGGTACCGCAGCCAGGGGCTCCCTTGGGTTGGGGCTAATCGTTGTGTCGCTCTCGGTCTGCCTGCCAGTAAAAATATCCATCCAGTTTCAAAAGTTTAAAAAATAGAAAGAATGATTTCCTGAGGAAATGGAAATGTTAAACACTTGGAAGTGAAACCATATGCTTATGATGATGAAGTGTAACTAAAACAGCTCTGAGAGCGATATCTTTGGTAGTCAGACCCTCTTGCTTCAGCGCAACCCTGTTTAACACCTGCAAAGTCACCCAAAATGGGGGTGAAAATCTGTGTGGGTCAGAGCCCTAGGAAAGCAGTCACTTCTCACTGATGCCAAACTCCTTATTTAGAAAATACCACTGGCAAATAATGTGCACATGCAAGTGAATTCTTTATCTTCCTAACGGAGTAACGACACAGATTAATATAGAAAAGGCATATAAAATGCCATCATAAACATTCATAAGATAAATAAAGATAAATAACATTTATTCTAAAGTCTACTGTCTAATTTTCCCCTTTACTTCTTAGCTTATATATTGAAATACTACTTTAAAGAGCAACCAGCACACAGAACATACCAAAATAGTTACACCTGTATACAGGTAATGCCATCACCATTCAAAATCTATGGCCAGATTTGTTTGCCAACAGATACTCTGGCAAGGTTCTGCAAAAGATCTAAGCACACACCTAGGAAAAACAGTCCTATTAATAAAATTTCATACTGATCAAAACATGCCATTGGTGAACTGAAAAACAAAAAACAAGGTAATAAAGAAAGCTGCTGCTGGTAGAATCCATGACTTTCAAATAAAAGAGGAAAAAAAATCTAATATTTTAATTAGATAAAACCTCCCTGTGCCTTGTGAAGACTTTTCATCTTAATTTTGCAATTAAATACCTAGCATTTTGTTTTTCTGGCTCAAAATATCACCTTAGCAATTTTGGACAGAAACAGTGGTCTGCAGAGAGACCACATTCTCCCTCCTCTTTCACATTTGCAATATATCTGTGGGTTTTGATGGGTTAGTGATGAGCTACAAAACTCTTGGCTGAAAACCAGTCTTTTCTGATATTGTTTCATTCAGTATAAATTGCAGGTGTCTAAGTGAGACTGCTATGAGAAGTTGTACTTCTGTTTCTGGGCAGAAGAACCTTGTTTTGAAAGGCTGCTAATCCAACACCTGCAATCAGCTGGTGAGGCTTCCACCTGTAGATGTCTGTGGGGAGGGATGAGCTCAGTTTAAATCTGAATTTACAAGTCTACAAAAGCCAGGAACATCTTTTTGGCTTTTTGGTCATTCCTGGTGTGGCCAGTGATTGCACTTATGTACTATCCACTAAGTAGCATTTTATTTTCCAACACACTGGAATCCCAAGAGAAGATATTTCAAAGAAATACATGGAGAATCGCCAAGAAGACATGCACCATTCTGCTGCACAGGAAAATTTGGACTTGGTCTCTGGATCTCTTCTCTCCTTGGCATTAAATCAGCCTGGATTGAAACTGAATAAGATCCAAATGCAATGTAATTCTTCTGCCTTAAAAAAAACAAAACAAAACAAAACAAAAACAAAAACAAACAAACAAACAAACAAACAAATGCAAGCCCTCTCCCCCCTATTAACACCTGGAAACCCCAAAGTGGATGTAGGAAAAATTAATTGTTCTTTTCCTGCTCATGCTCAATGACCCAAGACAAGAACTCAGTTCCCCTTCCCATTTTTTTATATTATTTAAGGTGAATCCAAATCTTTCAAACACTGTTCCAAGTCTATTATTTGTCTGCTGCTCTCTTTCTCTAGCCCACTTTAGTCCAGAACAACAAAAAACGAACCACACTCACGGAAGAAAGCATTCAAAGACAAGGGAGCCCTCAGTCTCCACGCTCAAGCTGGACAACAGGGAGCAGCATTGGAGCCAGAACGGGCTAGAAGTCAGTTTGTAAGACTGCTGGCGCACCGAAAGT